GTCCACAAGGACAAACAACACCCTCACCAACAGACACTCAACAAAATACAACACTTCAACCAAGCAGTAGTCAACAAGGACAAACAATACGCTCACCAACAGACACTCAACAAAATACAACACCTCAACCAAGCAGTAGTCGACAAGGACAAACAATACGCTCATCAACAGACCTAAAACAAAATACACAAACACTTCCATCAAGCAGTAGTCAACAAGGACAAAACACAACCTCACCAACAGACACTCAACAAAATACAACACTTCAACCAAGCAGTAGTCAACAAGGACAAACAATACGCTCACCAACAGACCCTCAACAAAATACAACACCTCAACCAAGCAGTAGTCCACAAGGACAAACAATACGCTCATCAACAGACCTAAAACAAAATACACAAACACTTCCATCAAGCAGTAGTCAACAAGGACAAAACACAACCTCACCAACAGACACTCAACAAAATACAACACCTCAACCAAGCAGTAGTCCACAAGGACAAACAACACCCTCACCAACAGACACTCAACAAAATACAACACCTCAACCAAGCAGTAGTCCACAAGGACAAACAATACGCTCATCAACAGACCTAAAACAAAATACACAAACACTTCCATCAAGCAGTAGTCAACAAGGACAAAACACAACCTCACCAACAGACACTCAACAAAATACAACACCCCAACCAAGCAGTAGTCCACAAGGACAAACAACACCCTCACCAACAGACACTCAACAAAATACAACACCTCAACCAAGCAGTAGTCCACAAGGACAAACAATACGCCCATCAACAGACCTAAAACAAAATACACAAACACTTCCATCAAGCAGTAGTCAACAAGGACAAAACACAACCTCACCAACAGACACTCAACAAAATACAACACCTCAACCAAGCAGTAGTCCACAAGGACAAACAACACCCTCACCAACAGACACTCAACAAAATACAACACCTCAACCAAGCAGTAGTCCACAAGGACAAACAATACGCTCATCAACAGACCTAAAACAAAATACACAAACACTTCCATCAAGCAGTAGTCAACAAGGACAAAACACAACCTCACCAACAGACACTCAACAAAATACAACACTTCAACCAAGCAGTAGTCAACAAGGAGTAACAACATATTCTACAACAAACAATAAACAAAATACAACAACCCCTCAACCAAGCAGTAGTCCACAAGGACAAACAACACCCTCACCAACAGACACTCAACAAAATACAACAACACCTCAACCAAGCAGTAGTCCACAAGGACAAACAACAATGTCAACAACAGACACTCAACAAAATACAACAACACCTAAACCAATCAGTAGTCCACAAGGACAAACAACAACCTCACCAACAGACACTCAACAAAATACAACAACAACTCAACCAAGCAGTAGTCCACTAGGACAAACAACAACCTCACCAACAGACCTAAAACAAAATACACAAACAACTCAACCAAGCAGTAGTCAACAAGGACAAAACACAACCTCACCAACAGACACTCAACAAAATACAACAACACCTCAACCAAACAGTAGTCCACAAGGACAAACAACACCCTCATCAACAGACACTCAACAAAATACAACACTTCAACCAAGCAGAAGTCAACAAGGACAACCAACACCTTCCCCAACAAACATGCCACAAAATGCTACAACTCATTTTGAAACAAACAACCAAGGTAACATACAAACATCTTCAAAAACTGACATTCAAGGGAACACATCAACATCTTTATCAACAGCACTGTATGTTAACAAATATACACCTTCTTCAACAACCAACCAAGTGAACACATCAACACTTTCAACAGCAATTTCCATGAAGAGCTTATCAACACTCTCACCAACTACCAACAAAGGAAACACACAAACAGAATCAATGACAAATAACCAAGTAAATACATTGCCATTTTCACAAACAAACACAACTATAACCTCATCAACTCTTTCTCCAACAACCAACCAAGTAAACACAACAATTTTACCAACAGTAATCCAAGGAAACTCATCAACACTTTCACCATTTACAAACCAAGTAAGCACATCAATACTTTCACCAACATACACCACACTAAGCTCATCAAAACTTCCATCAGCAACCAACCAAGCAAACTCATCAACACTTTCAATGACTACAAACCAAGTTAACACATCAACACTAATTACCAACCAAATAAACACATCAATACTTTTACCAACAACAAACCAAATAAACACATCAACATTATCACAAACTACAACCCAAGTAAACACATCAACTTTTTCACCATCTGCAAACCATGAAAACAAATCAACACCTTCACCAGCTACAAACCAAGTAAACACATTAACATTTTCTACAGCTACACACCAAGTAAACACATCAAAATTTTCACCAGCTACAAACCAAGTAAACACATCAACAGTTTCCCAAGCTACAAAACAAGTAAACACATCAACAGTTTCCGAGGCTACAAACCAAGTAAAATCATCAACAGTTTCACAAGCTACAAAACAAGTAAACACATCAACAGTTTCCCAACCTACAAACCAAGTAAAAACATCAACAGTTTCACAAGCTACAAACCAAGTAAACACATCAACAGTTTCCCAAGCTACAAACCAAGTAAACACATCAACAATTTCACCAACTACAAACCAAGTAAACACATCAACAGCTTCACCAACTACAAACCAAGTAAACCCATCAACAGTTTCCCAAGCTACAAACCAAATAAACACATCAACAGTTTCACATGCTACAATCCAAGTAAACACATCAACAGTATCACCAGCTACAAAGCAAGTAAACACATCAACAGTTTCCACAGCTACAAACCAAGTAAACACATCAATAATTTCACCAACTACAAAGCAAGTAAACATATCAACAGTTTCACAAGCTACAAACCAAGTAAACACATCAACAGTTTCACAAGCTACAAACCAAGTAAACACATCAACAGTTTCACAAGCTACAAAACAAGTAAACACATCAACAGTTTTCCAAGCTACAAAGCAGGTAAACACATCAACAGTTTCACAAGCTTCAAACCAAGTAAACACATCAACAGTTTCACCAACTACAAACCAAGTAAACACATCAACAGTTTCACCAACTACAAACCAAGTAAAATCTATAAAACTTTTACCAGTTACCAACCAATTAAACACAGCAACAATTATACCAACAACCAACCAAGTAAACGCATCAACACTTTTACAAACAACCAACCAAGTAAACACATCAACATTTCTACCTACAACCAACCAAGAAAACACATCATTGTTTTTACAAACAAACACCACAAAAACCCCATTAACACTTTCAGCAACAACTAACCAAGGAAACACACAAACAAGATCAGTGACAAATGACCAAGGTCACACATCAACACTTTCATTAACAACTAACCAAGGAAACACACAAACAAGATCAGTGACAAATGACCAAGGTCACACATCAACACTTTCATTAACAACTAACCAAGGAAACACACAAACAAGATCAGTGACAAATGACCAAGGTCACACATCAACACTTTCATTAACAACCAATCAAACAAACACAGCAAAAATTTTAACAACAACCACCACAGAAAGCACATCAAAACTTTTACCAACAACCACCACAGAAAGCACATCAAAACGTTTACCAACAACCACCACAGAAAGCACATCAATACATTTATCAACAGATAACTTAGAAAACAAACACACATCTTCACTGGCAAGTAACCAAGTAAACACATCAATATATACACCAACAACCAACCAAGTAGACAGACAAACAGGATTACTGACAAATAACCAAGTAAACACAACAACACCTTCACCAAAAACCAAACAAGTAAATACATCATCAGAAGGTGGTACAACTATTCTCACCAGCAATCAACAAAGCACAAATTTACTAAAAATAAATCAACACAATATTACTGCTGAAACCAAAAGCAAACAAAGCACAACAAATCCATCAAGTATTCTTTCAACCTCAAATCAACATAGTACAGATAGTACAACTACAAAACAAGAGAGAACACATGAACTTTCCTCAAATAAACAAAGTACAACTGTTCCAACCACAAATCAACAAAGTTCCCAACTTTCCTTAAAACAACAAAGTACAACTGTTCCAACCAAAAATCATCAAAGTACAAGTGTTCCAACTATAAATCAACAAAGTACAAGTATTCCAACTACAAAACTTCAAACTACAACTATTCTAACTATAAATCAACAAAGTACAAGTGTTCCAACTATAAATCAACAAAGTACAACTGTTCCAACTATAAATCAACAAATTACAACTGTTCCAACAACTAATCAAAAAAGTACATCTGTGTTAACATCAAAACAACAAAGTTCAACTTTTCCAACAACAAATCAACAAAGTACAACTGTTCCAACTATAAAACCACAAAGCACAACTGTACCAATCAGAAATCAACTAAGTACAACTGTTTCAACAACTGTTAAACAAAGTACAACTGTTCCAACCACAAATCAACAAAGTACAACTGTTCCGACTATAAATCAGCAAAGTACAACTGTTCCAACTAAAATTCAACAAAGTACAACTGTTCTTAAACCAAAGCAACAAATTACAACTGTTCCAACTACAAAAGAACAAAGTAAAACTGTTCAAACCTCAAAACAACAAAGTACAACTGTTGCAACATCAAATCAACAAAGAACAACTGTTCTTACATCAAGACAACAAAGTACAAATGTTCCAACAACAAATCAACAAAGTACAACTCCGCCAACCTCAAAACAGCAAAGAACAACTGTTCTAATATCAAAACGACATAGTACAGCTCTTCTAACTACAAATCAGCTAAGTACAACTTTTCCAACATCAAATCAACAAATAACAACTGTGCCGATCTCTAAACAACCAAGTACAACTGTTCCAACATCAAAACAACAAAGTACAACTGTTCCAACCTCTAAACAACAAAGTACAACTGTTCCAACATCAAAACAACAAAGTACAACTGTTCCAACCTCTAAACAACAAAGTACAACTGTTCCAACCTCTAAACAACAAAGTACAACTGTTCCAACCTCTAAACAACAAAGTACAACTGTTCCAACATCAAAACAACAAAGTACAACTGTGCCAACCTCTAAACAACAAAGTACAACTGTTCCAACCTCTAAACAACAAAGTACAACTTTGTCAACCTCTAAACAACAAAGTACAACTGTTCCAACCTCTAAACAACAAATGACAACTGTGCCGATCTCTAAACAACAAAGTACAACTGTTCCAACATCAAAACAACAAAGTACAACTGTTCCAACCTCTAAACAACAAAGTACAACTGTGCCAACCTCTAAACAACAAAGTACAACTGTGCCAACCTCTAAACAACAAAGTACAACTGTGTCAACCTCTAAACAACAAAGTACAACTGTGCCAACATCAAATCAACTAAGTACCACTTCAAAACCACACAATAAAACTGAAACTATACTATTCAAAACTAACAAATTTCAAACTTCATCAACACTTCCATTTCAAAATGTTAAGAGAACATCTCCTGTAAAGTCCAATAATTTCCAAACAAAACCATCTAACCTTGGAATAACTCCAAAACAGACAACAACTAATAATTCCACTGTTTCTGAAACTTTAAAACATGACAAGTCAGACTCTAGCTTTTTGACAATTGGTTTACCGATCATTTTGGTTTTACTACTAGCCTCTCTGATAGTTTTTGGGATTATTTTGCGTAAAAGATTGAGAAGAGATGATGAACGATCGCTACTCAAATTCCACAGACGTATGTGGCAATACTATAAAGAGTACCATTATGATAAGGATATACTAGGCCCATCTAAACCTGTGTTTAAATATTATTCTGATACAAGTGGTCATAGTGCATAAATTTTGTGTGGTAATAACATATTTTTGTACCCCGTCTATCATAGTAGAGGGGTATTATGTTTTCTGGTCTGTGTATCTGTTCTATATTCTGTTAGTCTATCCATCCATTCTTTCAACCTGAATCAGGTTAAATTTTTGGTTACAGTAGTTAACCATCAAGTTGTGGTCCCATCAAGTTATGGTCCCATCAAGTTGTGGTCCCATCAAGTTGTGGTCCCATTAAGTTGTGGTCCCATCAAGTTTTGGTCCCATCAAGTTGAAACAATACAAAAATTCATGAAGTGACAAATTTAAAGTTTTGAGCCTGATTGTATGGGTCACTGAACATGGACATGTGATATTGTTACATCAGTACATTCTCAGGTAAACAATTTGGTTAAGGCAGTTTACCACCAAGTTGTTGTAACATCCGTTACAAACTAATAGGACAGATATTCATTGTGATGTATACTTTTCAATTTGGGGTTAGACTTAATAACACAGTTCACAGAACATAGAAAAATAATGTGAGTTGGGCATGGTCTCTTATGAATATATATTTTTTTTTATATATCATTTTTTTATAGCATATTCAAGTTTGGGAACAAAGAGGTTAAGGAGTATTAAAAAATATTATAATAAATAAATTTATATTGAAATACAATACAGCTATATATATTGTGTTTTTTTTTAATGTATTTTTCAAATATTTATTTCAAATCTAAATTGCACAAGAGGTTAAAGTGGACCTTTTTAAAATAAAGATAATTTGAACCAAATAAAAAAGGAAACAGAAACTTGTCTTCAAATAAAATACTGACATACATTCACTTCATTTGAACTTTGGTGGATAGTTGTCTCATTGGCAATCATACCAAATATCCATAATTTTCTATGTTTTCTATGTATTGTGTGCGATTTTGTCCCATGTACATTTACTCCATATCCCTTCATTTTCTATTATTTTTATATAAGCCTTAAAAAACGCAAGAATATTACCAAAAAAAATATTTTAAATTGTTGCAATATCTTCGATATTCAAACAATTATAAACTACAAACTGATAAATTACAACAATTTAAAAAGTTATTTATTTTACCATCAAAATTTTTCTCAGTCTGACAAATACTTCAGAAATGATTGTCGGATACACTATTTAAAATCAACATTAAATGGTCAAGTCAATTCACACATTTCAAAGTTTCCTTTCAACAGACAGACATATCTCCCTACAGATATGAAACTGACATTCAAATCTATCTGACGTCTTATCAATAACTACTAAATAGCAAATAAAACATTGATAAGATTGAGAATTATACTTTTAAGATGTTTGAATAGTTATTAAACTCATTTTTGACTTAGGTGAAATAGTAAATATTGAAATAAATTTAGATCATTAAGGAGATTTTTATTTACATAACAATGTTCAAATGAATGAACGGCAAAAGTGCTTACAATGAAATGTAACTTTTTTTTGTTGTTGTTATTATTCTGTATACTGATATTTAACAATAACATGTATTCACACAAAGGTGTAACTTTGTGATGTTATCCTCATATATGTTTTCATTGTAATTTTAAGCCATTGAACTATAGAACTATTGCTCAGAATATTTCTAATAATTTTGACCACTCATCTGATGGCTTGGAGATAATAGTCAAAGCTAAGTACTGTGAATATATTTATTTATGTGGTTGGAGAAAATTGCTATTTCAAGATTGCAGCATTTGCACCTATCAAAGTAACTTGTAATCATATTTCATTAAGTATTTAAAATTGTGGATTTCCAATTACCACGAAATCAATGAAAATTGGTATGGTATCCAACAAATATTAATGAATCCACAATACATAAGAGATTTTACATTATATCAGAAGTTAAAGGACTATTTTTCTTATAGATTCTCCGAAAATTTGTAATTCAAAACTTCGAAAATGGCTTCACTGTGTAGTGTATATATCTTCTGTCCGTCTTATCATGATCATGTGTATTTGTATTGATATAATGTATTTTATACCTGTAAGTAAATTACAGTCAATAAAAAATTGAATTAGATTGTTATAGATTAAAATGAATACATATACCACATTGAATGTTTGTTTATACATGGTTTTAAATAAAGTAAATTATATCCATGTTGTCTTTAATGTTTATAAAAAGGGGAGACTACTCTAAGACTGCAATCATAGCTAAACATGTTCAAGGAAATGCTAACTTCATGTATGAGTCTTGCCTCATACGATAAAAGAAACAAGTAGGCAACAAGAGGAGCACAATTGGATCCCTTAAGACTGTCAACTTACTGCTGAAAAACACATCCAGCAAACGTGAACAGTATGTTTAAGAATAAAAATTAACTTATATACTGAAAAAGCATAAGCTTAAATTATCTGAACTAGAAGACAACCTGTCTGTCATCATTTAAGCCAAAGAGACTTTGATGTCAAAAATGGTAATATTTTCTTGTCAAAAAGCAAGACTTGTCAGATGTTTTCATAAATGTCAGTATAGTCTGTCTGTTATTTTTATCTAAATAATTAAAAACAAATTGAGGTAAATATTTTCTTTCAAGTAGGACTAATTCACCTATTAATTGAATGTAGAACACTGCAAATGATCCGTCCAAATTTGTATACGATAATGCAATTTATTTGTGACATTTTCATTCAAATGTAGAAATTTGTTTGATTTATTGGTAATGAATAGATTTTATAGTGAAGAGAAATTTGTTCCCTACCTTGAACAAATGAAAAGCTTTGCCTTATAAGGGAGATAACTCAAGACAAACTTTTATATTTAATGACAATGTAATCTATAATGTTACACAAGAAATCGTAATCTATTCTTACCCCTGAAGAGATATCTGTTAATGTCTGTGTAAGTATGATGTTGAAGACAGCATGTGATCGACTACTCTCATTGTTCATGTTGGTGGCAGCAACAGTTCTGGATTTGTTCCCTTCACTCATAAGGTTGTCAATATCCTGTACAAAATGTTCACATGCTTACTTAGACTATATACAATTCATGCTATCCCAACATACTTGATGTCTTATGCCAAACCAAAGCCTAAAAATCCTTTAATTTTTTATATAAAGACAGTAGAAATCTTAATGTCTCATCTTAACAGTTTTCGTTTCAAAACAAGAAGAAATCATCTTTAGACCTGTAAAGATTTTGGTTTTCCAAGCATTGAACTATGACCTCTTACACCCAAGGCAAGCATATTATATCCCATATCCATTGTTTTTCTATTATGTAAGATCATCGAAGCATTAAACCAATGTTGTTGTGTTGGAGCAAAATCTAGAATGAATGACCATCTTTGTATAAATTTTTTGGTTTTTAAGTTTGTGTATGAAAAGTTGTTGAAAGAATTCCATCAAAACATGTTTAGTAGTGGTTTTCTCTGTTTCTATGGTATAAATTTACCAAAACAAGATACATAAATGAGCAGTCACCTCATATGGCATTTTTGTCTTAAATAATCTGAACTAAAAGACAACCTGCCTGTCATCATTTAAGCCAGAGACTTTGATGTCAACACTATTAATGACAAATCTGAAATGTGCTAAATTTTAACTTGTCCTGTGTTTCAAGGTTTTGACAATGAATTAAAATACTAAATATTTCATTGGAGTAGAACTTGATAAGATTTTAAATTTAAAACTTTTCCCTATATCATTTGCCTATAAATCAGATTTGTAACCTTAACTCTTTAAAGTCTGTTGATTGCAGATTTCATAAAATTTAATGTTATGACAACATGCATGATGTGCACATTCATGAATTAATGTGCTGTTCGGTAGTTCATTGAATTTTTTTTTACATTTGAATTTTTTAATTGGTTATTCTATAATTATTTTCTTGTTGTTGCCTGAAACACTGAACTTACTTCAAAAGATGATACAGCAAGTTGTGACAAGCCGTCTACATATGGTCCCAATATATTGTGTTCCCGTACTTTTAAATTCTGTTTACTCCTGAAAAATAGTTTCAAAATAATGTCAGACCTGTCAACCTTCACGATTCATTAAGGATTTCCCCATGAGAGGTGTTGACCTGAATAAACCTTGGAATCTGTGACACTAAAACTGAGAATTTGCGACATTTGTCAACAGACATAAATTACTTTTCTTTTGTTGCATCCAGACATTTTTTCTTGTGATGTCAAAAAATTCAGAGGAATGACTGGGATATCCATTTATGGGTTTATTCATGAAGGCAATAGAAATTAATCAACTCTATGTGTACATAGACAAAAACTGGTTCATTTTTAACAGAGGATTTTTAAAAGTGTCATGTCCAAAAACTATTTGACTTGAGTCCTTGATAATAGCTTTTGCTAGACAATCAGAAATTAAAGCATGTTTATAAAGGTTACCAAATTTCATTAAATTCTGTTTATTTTCTACAATCCAAATAGAGTTATTTCCCTTTATATGTAAGTTTGAAAATGACCTTTCTATCAACCTTCAGAAGTAATAATTAAATTATTTGATGGATTGACTAATTAAACAAACAGACACATTTTCAATTAATCTGACTTCTTGTGTTTTAAAGTCAATATTAACTGAAAATCATAGAAATAAAAAAAATCCTACTGACACTTGAGTAATTACTCGATAACAAATTGTAACTAAAATTTCATTTAGTAAGGTTCAACTCACTGAAGTCTAAACAAAATCTAGAAACATGTAAATCAAATTGTCAAATATAACTAACATGGAATTAATCTCTTAACAATCTGTCTGGGCAAATAAAGCATGTTCTTTCTTTTTAAATATAACTTTGATATGTCAATATATTTGGACTTCCCTTACTCCTACAATGACCAAGTGGGTGTAGGGAAACTTATATTTTTTAATGAAAATTTTTGTTCGAGTTTTATGCTTTATGAGTTTTTGTATTTGTAACATTAAGACTTGGTATGTTCAAAAATAAACTCAAATTAAAATATGCAAATAAATGAGTACTGTGAATTTCATGAATTGAGGGAAAATTGAGCTTTCGTTGATACTTGATTTGGTAGTTTAAGCAAATTCTGCCTTGTAGAAAAATTATTTTTTGTTGAACACTTAATTCTGCTGACCTCCTATAAAACCTACCCTTTTGGATCTAACAGGTCATGAACTTTTTCATTATAAATTTCCATATATGACACTTCGACCTTGACGGCTAAACTCTCATCATCACAGTGACTGTCAATCTTAGAAAACATGGCGTTACAAAGTCTTGGAATGATACCATGCCCAGTATCCTGGAATGTGCCCATCATAGTGTAGGATTTCCCTGAACCTAAAAATAGATAACACATAATATAACAAAGCTGAGAATTCACACTATGAACAATATCCTGGAATGTGCCCATCATAGCGCAGGATTTATTTGAGTTTGAAAATAGAAAAAAAATCATTGCATAGATGTGGAATACTGTGGATTCATTCATTTTCGTGGGTACCAATTTTCAAGGATTGAGGAAAACTACTATTTTTTGTGGATATTTGATTTCGTGGTTTTGTCAAAATTTTCATACAAGGCTTTGAAAATGTGTACTTCATTGAACATTCAAATTGATAGTTAACATAAAACCCAAGAAATCCATGAGAACTGGTATCCCACGAATACTAATGTATCCACAGTACATGTACCAGGTCTCTACCAATGTACTGATCATAGTGAAGGACTTCCCTCAAACTAAAAATAGAATACACAAAAATCATTGCTGGAATATTTTTACTCATACTTATTATCAGTTATCCAAATCATGGCTGTGTGTTACAAAAATAGACATGTGATGTGTTCTTTTTTTACCTTGTCTGTTGTATAGAAATCAAGATCTTGTACTTTTGACTGTAGGACTACTTTCAATATTAAATCAAAATTCCAAAGTTTGTAACCTTTGATTTATATACGGACTAGTTATACTATAATGTACAATGGACAACATTCTTAATATTTCATGGAAGTTAATCATAATCTTTATATTTGAGAAGTTTTTATTTACGTCTTAATATTATTGCGTTTTATATTGTCTTGAATGTTTATTTGACCAATTTGTATTTCTTGAAGAACTTTTGTCTTGAATGTTTATTTGACCAATTTGTATTTCTTGAAGAACTTTCACAACAAAAAAGCAAAAATAAAAGTGAAATAATCCTATACACAGTATAACTTCCTTTTACTAACTCAATTATTTTATTTACTACTATTTTCACCAATTCAATTTAACTTTCACTTCTCAGCACTTCAAATCAAATCTGATTAATTCTGCGCTTGCATTATTTGCGGATATGATTACACTTGGCTAAAAGTAAACCAAAAACTTTTTTTGTTTGTTTTTATGAAGAAATAAACAACATGCCAGTCAACTGAAATATTCATGTCGGAGCCTTTTATAACCTATGGCATGGGTTTTTCTCATTGTTGAAGGACGTACCTTTGCCTATCATTGCTTACATCCACTTCATTTGAACTTTGGTGGATAGTTGTCTCATTGAATTGGCAATCAAACCACATCTCCTTATTTTCATATCTTGTTTTTTTGTTGTTTTTTTGTTGGTTTGTTTGACCATTGGGTTGTCATATTCCCTTTGACTTTACATAAGTTTTGAATGTGCCCTTGGCATCTCCTGCCTTATTTTTGATAGTTGATGTTAACATATCTTTACCTGTCTGTCCATAGGCAAATATACAGGCATTGTAGCCTTCAAACGCTCTTTCCAACACATCTTTTCCAAGGGCATTAAATACATGGTCTTGTCCTGAAGAATAAAAACAGTAACATGAGTAAGTCAATACCAAATCTGATATGCTGCTTTTCTTTAACTGTGTAATTGTTATTATTGTATGATTGTTGGAGTTAAACGCCATTTTCACCACACTTTACTATATTATGGCGGCCAGTTTTTATTGGTGGAGGAGACTAGAGTGCCTGGATAGAACCATAAGATTCAACAGAAAACAGCTGTGTACTAATTCCAACAAAAAAATAAAGTTAAATTACTTGACATTCTAACTGACTTTACAACATCAGTTGTAGGTTGAATGGCCCTAGTAATCAAAATCAACATTTCTATAGGAGTTGACTATTTACAAAATTTAATAAAAGGGTCTTATGGGTCAACTTTGAACAAAAAAGTTCTTGATCTTTCTTTAAGAATTAAAATAATTCATGGCAGCAATGCTTTATTCCTATTTCAACAATGGAAATGTATTGTTCAGTAAGGACCTATGACTTCCTTCTATTTTATAGCCTGTCTAAGGATGCCCAGTACACAAGTGGAAATGTATTGTCAAGTAAGGACCTAGGACTTCCCTCTTTTTCATAGCCTGTCTAAGGATGCCCAGTACACAATGGAAATGTATTGTTAAGTAAGGACCTAGGACTTCCCTCTTTTTTTTAGCCTGTCTAAGGATGACCAGTACACAATGGAAATGTATTGTTAAGTAAGGACCTATGACTTCCTTCTTTTTCATAGCCTGTCTAAGGATGCACAGTATAGTCTAAGACATCAGAAATGAGTTACCTCAGCTTAATTTGGTAAAACCTTTTGGAATTTTTGGCCCTTAATGCTCTTCTACTCTGTAATTTATTTGGCCTTTTAACTTTTTTCATTTAATAGTCACCGATGAGTCTTATTCAGGATGAAACGTGCATCTGGCGTACAAAATTATGAACAATGAGGTTTTTTTCCTCACAGCTTTATTGATAATACAAAGATATCTATAAAGGTCAATAAGAATAAGATCTGATTGTTTTTATATACATTTGTATGTACATAACTTTATCATGCTTTATATTTCAATGATTGTCTTATTAATCAGAAAGTTTGTACATAAAGCCTACTACAAACTTTTATTCTAGATAAAGTTACACAACGTAGACACATTAATTCTCAATTTACGCTTTTGTCTTCAGTCAGTCTGTAAAGGGCATACATAGCATGATATAAATTGTATAGAAACAAGTCATGTAGGAATAATACATAAAAAGCCGAGTTCTCCCCAGGGCTTTTTAGCATGATTGTAATGTGATGCTATATTGCTTGATCATTGTTGAATGTGATTGTATCTGAAATTATTTTCTTATTAATTGTGTTATGAATATGATGTTATTATTCCTAGAAACATGATGATGATGATGATGGGTGGCTGTTTAACGTCCAGTGGCAAATTAATATTTCAATGGGATACGAGTATGAACCCTGCTTTGTACTTGCTATGGATAAACAAAATGATAGATTGATTGATCATTTGGTGTTTAATGCCACTTTCAACACTATTGTGCAATTTCGTGGCGGTCAGTTTTTATTGGTGGAGTAAGCCGGAGCGCACGGAGAGAACCATCAACCTTCGGTAGGAAATTTGACAATCCTAGTCAATTAAGATTGGAGTCGAGGGCACCTGCCACTTGCAGGATTCGAACTCACAACATCAGTGTTGACAGGCTAGTAATACAGTAGTACGACTACTTAGACCACTCGGATACCAAGGCCCCACAAACACAATGAGCATAATTTTTAACCGGCTAGTTCTCAAGGTAACAGTCTGCAGAAAGACATGTCTCCCAACCCAGACACATTATTCTGACTTGCAGGGTGACCAGTCTTACTCCTAAATGCTGTGTGCTTAGCAGAGAGGCAGCAAATACCTATTTCCAAGGTTTGAACTGACCCGGGTATCAAACACATAACCTTAGACACTATTGGCAAGCACCACTTCTTGAGACTACCAAGGTGGTTTCAAGAAATAAGATAGTAATTTAAAAAACACTAGGGAGGCTATGTGAAACTCGATAATAGGTAATTAAAAGAAGGAATCACCAAATATACCCCCACTAACCACCAACAACTGATACCTCCGAGAACCAACATACAAACAAACAAAGACAAACAACAAAGGACAGATAATACTTATATTTTAATAGGTCTTCAATTATAAAAAAAATAATTTTAAATGAAAAAACAGGATTCTTAATCTTATATAAAAATTTGTAGTCCAATTTCAATCGTATCTCTTAACTTTGACATCTAGAACTGATAGAACGCATTGTACTTCTGATCCCATTTGTCTTTAATTTTATAAGTTATATTGTTGACCTTTTATGTTTTTTTTCTTGTAGTTGGGTTTCTGTTTTACAGAAATATACCTCATATTTCCTTTTATCAAAATATTGAGTATTATGACTTGCAATACATAACTAAATGAGTAGTATTTGTAGGTTCTATGAAAGTTCAGTTTTGTCTGATTTCACTGTTTTATATAATATACATTAAAGGAACAATATGATATAAAAGCTTCAATCAAAATATATTGGTAATAAAACTTGTCAAACGTCAATAACAATATCAATTATTGTCAGAAATATTATATTTAATCATTTTATAAAAGCCATTTCCCAGAATTCATTAGTTATTGAAACTACAGTCTGTATTATATCTGTAGATTATTCTTTCTCGCCAAAATGTATATAGGCAAGTATAATAATTTGTCATGCCTTGATATTGCGAAAAAGGTATCTTTTAAAGATTTGCCATTTATCAAATATTTGTTTATATCATATATTCTGAAGATTAGACTATTCTTGGTATTGCATCTTTCAGCAAATTAAATGAACATACAGAATTAAGCATCCTAATGTTGACAGTTTTATTTGACAGACATCATGGACATGTGCAGATTACATACACAATTAAAGAAAATCATTACTGTAAATTCAGAAATTATTGTGAGGTTTATATTAATGTGAATAATGTGACTCGGTTAGTATTCAATAATAAGAATTCACATTTAGATAGTTAAACCATTGATCTATATGTAGATTTTTCTAAAATCGCAAAAATTGAACTCCCATTCTTGTCCATTTTTGAAAAATCGCAATAATAAATGCACGCAATAATAAATGAATTTACAGTATATAATAGATATAAGAAGATGTGGTATGAGTGCCAATGAGACAACTCTCCATCCAAGTCACAATTTGTAAAAGTCAACCATTATAGGTAAGGTACGGTCTTCAACACAGAGCCTTGGCTCACACCGAACAGCAAGCTATAAATTGCCCCAAAAATGACTAATGTAAAACCATTCAAACAGGAAAACCAACGGTCTAATCTATATAAAAAACGAAAAACACTTATGAACCACACCAACAAAGGACAACCAATGAACATCAGGTTCCTGACTTAGGACAGGTGCAAACAAATGCAGCAGGTTTAAACGTTTTAATAGGCGCCAACCTTCACCCTACTTGAAACAATAGTCTAACATCACAACATAGAAAGAGTTAATATCAACTGATATCCAATTCTCAAGAGATGTTAAACATCTTTCTCTTATGGTCAACATTATCTTTGTCCTGGTCAAACATTTTTTTGATTTTTCAAAAGCTTCACTTTAAATAGAAGTCCGCTTTTGGCAATTAAGAATATTGTCATACACCACAACTACTTATTACAATAAAGAAATTTTCAAGCTTTTGAAACGCTTTAGAATGGAATAAAATATTACAAGCATGAGATTATTAAACAAATTATATTATCCACACTTAGGTGGAATCAAAATTGTTTTTTTTTCTGAATTTTGTCTTAATTTGTCTAAAATTCTCGACATAACTTGACAAAAAAATAAAATTGTTTATCCTTTTTTGCTGGTAGCAGAAAAAAGGTTTTTAACTCATATATGATTTATTTTTTTTAATTATAACCAATATCCTTTTCACTTCTTTTTATTTATAAGAGTTGTGTATTGATCATTGTTTATTTATAACCCAAACATTTTTGATAATTAAAAGACATCTTTACAATAATAAAGAAAAAGTAAACAGTAAAAAGTAAGGGGAAATAATTCAATTCAAGATTTGTGCAACAAATTTGAAAATATTTTAAATAAAGGGACATAATATCTGTCCAGCTGAAAAAATTTCCAAAACATTTGTTAACATTAAGCCGGTGTTGTTATTGAGATGATTTCATTCTAAAGTTTCTCTGCTAATTTCACCCTTTTTTTTTAAAAGATGAAGTAAAAAAAATAAATCTTTTCATATCAAATTTTCACAGAAATTAAGTAAGTAATAATATTGTCAATGATGGTCTGATCAATTTACAAATGCACCATGAGTTTGAAAGGTGAGGTTTACCACTTCAAAGTACAAATTAATTTTTTAAACTTATTTTACAGAATATTTGATCAATATTTGTAAGATAACAGATATTTATTCCATAATAAATATGATAATACATTTGACCGTAAGTGCAAGGGCAAAAAAAAAAAAATACATGGCTTGTTTCCTGCCTCCTGCCCTACAAAAAAGGGTAGGTAGGTAGGTCAAACAATTTTATTTACAAAAAATTTTAAAAACTATTTTACATCACTACATAGTAACATAGTTACCCTAATCATTCTTGACTTTAAAGGGGCATTAGCTGACAAATTCATGTTCACTGATTTGACTCAAATACACATATTGGATGTATAACATACTAAAAGGATATCCAAATTACAAAAAGTCTAAAACAAACAATTGACAATGCATTGCTTAAATAATATATATCAGCATTTCCTGCATATTTCAGTCTAGATGCCTTCTAATCAACCATCGAGATGACCTCCAAAGACTGCTGACAGTCTTATACCCAATATCAAAATAAATATAAATATGTATAGATTATAACATGGCCCGCAAAGCACCATTTCAGAAATTATGAAATTCACTTAAATTTAATGCTTTTATCATACTGAAAAATTATAAGTTATTTACTCC